AAATTGAGGGCAGGATCACCCTCCTCCCCCGGCATGGTTGCTGAAGAAAGGTGTACTCATCTTAGGTTAACATTCTAGTCTTACCTGCAAGACTCATCTGAAGTGCAAAACAAAAGATCATCACAGTCGTTTCAAACATAGGCCCGTGACGTGAACTCTGCTTCCTGTCAAGAAAATCACGTACTTCATTTTTTAAACTAAAGTTATTTGGATTTCAGCACAGACACGTTTTAGTGATTAAGCTTGTTCTCTCTCTCTGTCTCTGTCTGTCCCTTTGCTGTGTTTCAGTCCCTGCAGAGATAAAGTGGTCAGGACGGCCTGAAGAAATTTCTGTAGATGGCCCTGGGATAAGAAGGAGAAGTAACAAGTTTCCTGGCCTTCCCTGTGGAACTCCCAGCCTGGCTGGAGCTGAGTTGATGGGGATGAAGTCTAGACGGAGTCAGCCAGAGTCCAGGCGCCATCGTCTCCCTGCTGCTCAGAGTGGCCTTTGGAGAAGACTTCCCAGAAAAGGTGAGACAAAAGGAAGGGTGAGAAGGAGGGAGGCGGGGAGGAGGAAACCACCATTTGTTAAGTGTGTACTCGGGCAAGCACTTTGTGTACATGATTTCTCTTACACCATCCCCATCACCGAGGGTTACAACCTCATTTTCACCAGGGTGAAGGGTGAAAATGGAGGCTCAGAAACATGACTGGTTCGCACTGGGTCACCTTGCTGGTAAGGAGCAGAACTGGGATCCTTCCCCTATCGGCCTCATTCCAAAGCACCTGTTCTTTGTACTCACTCATCCTTCTCATTCAAAACCCTTTCTTGGTTGGTTGGGTACCAGCTGATGAAACTTACATGTGATTGTCTGTTGTATGAATCTCACTGGAGGATGAGCGTCCAATGGTGGAGGTGTCTTCTTTCAGGTCAACAAGGGAGCTCTCTCCTTCTCAGAGATTTAATGATTCTTTTACAGTTTGTAATGTCTCCTCCTCCCCATAGGTATCTAGTAAATGTTTCTTGACAGTAGAAGGAAGGGAGGAAGTTTGCTTTTTAGAAGACACAGAGTTGTGCTACCCAAAGCATGGTCCCTGAACCAGCAGTGTTGACATCACCTGGAAAAGCATGTTAGAAACACAGAGTCACTGACCACTGGCCTCTGGAATAACGTTTACTTCAGTTCTGGTACCCAGTTTGCCACCCAAAAATGGTACTTCCTTTCTATTCTCATTTTCCCTTCTCTTTACGAAGAGAAAATAATTTTATCTTCAAGAGTGAGCCCATTATAGAATCTGTTCTCTTAGAGAAAGAAAATGCCTCTGTAATACTAATCATATCTGTTAGACCTGTACAGTAGCCACTTGCCACATGAGGCTATGAAATTTAAATTAAATTAAACATTCACTTTCTCAGTCACTCTAGCCACACATGGCTCGTGACTAGCATCTTGGACAGCACAGATATAGAACGTTTTCACCATCATGGAAACTTCTATTGGAAAGTGCTGCTTAAAAGCATCCTGTCTCTCCTGGGCTTTCGCTAACCCACAACTCAGCTGCTCACAGTGTAGAGGCTCCCGATAAATGCTCCTTGACTTAAATTCCACAGCTTCACTCATTGGAAAAAAGAAAGGGCATGAGAATCCCAAGATCTGTTTTCCATTTTCTTCTCTGTCTACTAAGGAGCCGTGTGACCTTTGGTAAATCACTTCCTGTCTTCCTCGGTTTCCTCATCTAACTAATTTAGAGAGGAAGCATATAGTCTGGAAGCTTTTGCACTTTTTATCTCTTTGATGGTTTTGCCAACCTTGCAGTCTGTAGGAGATGACAAACTCATTCTGGTTTGACTGGGACTGTCCCAGTTTTAAAACAAAAAGTCCCATTTCACAAGAATCCCCTCATTCTCAGGCAAATCAAGGCCTCCCAGTTATAAAATTCTACAACCTCACGCAAGCCTAAGGGTGGGGTGCCAGGAACCCCCAAACTGCTGCAAACAGCAGAGGTGTGTGGCTAAGAACTTAGGCTCTGGAATCAGGCAAACCTGGGTTCCCAGACTAATGCTACCACTTGATTTCTGGGTGAACTTGGGCAAATTACTTAACTTCTCTGAGACTCAGTTTCCCATCTGCAAAACAAGACTGCCGTTTAAAGTGCTTTCTTCCATGTGTTATTGCAAGGATTAACTTAGCAAAGCTTTGCACAGTGGCAAATGCTCAGAGCAGTGTTAGCAATTATTAATTCAGCAGACTGTGAAAAGCGGGATGGGTCTGCCTTTAGGTAGACTGTGACTCTGACATTCATGCGTAGCTCAAAGTATCAGCTAAAAGAAAGATGACTTGCTTATGAGTTATTAAGCTCCTCTTCATCCAGACCCCCACAACTCTTGCCTAGGACTCATCTCTAATAAATAACAGTTCAAACTGGTTAAAGAGGATGCTTTTCAACTCCCCGTGCCCTGCTGGGATAAAGTGACTCTGATGGAGCAAGTTTGTTGAAACACAAACTAATCATTCGTGTTGCCAAAGTAGGCTTTTGGCAGAGCCCTGTGAAGAGAGAGAGAATGGAAAAAAAAAATTGTCCTGAATTGCTGAGACAGCACTGTATTTAGACAATTAAATTTGGAAAAGCAGGACAGTCCCTGTAACTACCTCCCACGCCCCCTCCTCCACGAACAAAGGGTTTTGTTGAGAGTATTCATATGGATATTAATACCGACACTTTAATGAGCCCCTCAGTAAACTCAGCAGCAGTAATTACACCCAGCCATAGTGCCACCAGTGGGGAGGTACAAAATCGTGCCTCCAAAAATTAGTCACTTGTAAGTTAACCCCACAGTCACGTCAAGCAGCCTACACTTCATGGCTGATTCACAGAGATCCTTGACACCTCTGTAGTTAAAGGGGCCAGATCACCATGGGACGTCCCCAGAAAGGGAAAAGGTCACATTTACAAAAGACCTACATGCCAGAGAGGAAAGAGTTTTGAGGAAGCAGAGATATAGCTTTATTCTGGGTTGTGATACTGCCGAGCCCTGGCTGAGCACTGGCCAGGTGCCAGGCAGGGTGCAGAGCACTGCGTCTGATCCTCACCTAAATCCTGGGAGCAGGGAGCTTTTTATGATGCCCATTTTTCAGATGAGGAAACCGAAAGGCTCAGAGGATGTGAATGGCTCAGTCCAAAATCTCAATGCTAAAATGGCAGGGCTGAAGATTTTAACCCAGTTTCTAGGTGAGATTTGAGCCTCACCTATGAAGTGGGGATAGAGGAAAAGTTGTGCTTTTTCTTCTCATTTACTGGGGATGTTTTAGAGGTTGGATGTTGCCTTGGGTTTGGCAGACCCATAGAGGAAAGACCCTGCCTTCCTAACCCTCCCCACTCCCTCTAAATTTTCCCTTCTCAGGCTCCAATTCCACATGCAAGACCGGGGCTCAGACCTCTCATCACTGCTCTGCCTGCCATATCTTTGTCCAGTCTTTTCCCTCTTCTTTTTCCTAGTCAGTCATTTAGAGAAATAACAGGGTTTGAGAGAGACCAGGAATGAAAGAGAGTGAGCCCATAAGAGTGAGAATGAGAGAGTGAAAAGGGGAAATGGGACTGAAGAGGAGAGGATTAAGAAGTGTGAATAGAGACACAGAGAGAGAGAGAGAGAGAGAGAGAGAGAGAGAGAGAGAGAGAAGGAAAGGGAAAAGGAAAGAGAAAGAGAAAGAAATCAAGCTTTGAAGTCACCCAGATTTGGCCAGAACCATTGCTATTCAAGCTGTGCAACTTTGAATAACGCTGTCTGACTCAGTTTCCTCATCTGTAAAATAAGAATGATGCTACTTATCTCATAGGGTGTTGTGAGGATCAAATATTGTCTATGCATTTCCTGCCACTCAACAGGCACTCCATAAACCTACCTACCTGCTTACTCCGTCCCTCTCTCATCTGGTACCATCCAAACCCCAGGCACATTCCAAGACATCTCTACAAACATTACCGGTTTAGTCCTTGAAACAACTCACAAATCACGTGGTATTAAATCTCATTTTACAACGAGACCTAGGGAGAGGACATTACAAGCTAGGATCACCCAGCAAGGGACCGTCCCAGCCAGACGTCCAGTGTACATCTGTCTTTCTCCACTACGGGGGAAAGTCAGAGTCGGGGAGGGGGTGCACCTGAACTACTGGGCTTTTACAGTTTGCCTCTTTGCTGCTCCACTGGAGGGCTGTTGAGATAATTGTCCAAATCATGTTAATGAGTTATTGAGTGCTGACATTGCTCTGAGGAAAGATAGTGAACAAATCTCCTCTGGGTAGGGGCCGGCAGCCACCAGCTGTGGTCATTACCTCCGCCGATGCCACCACCCAGGGGCTCTCAGCTCAAGTAATTCACTCAACTGCCTCTTCTCAGAGGTGAAGTGGGGCTAATACAGCTTAACCACCTAGAGGTGGGACAATGAGTCTGTGCTCAGTGATGAAGTACTTTCCAGACCATCCAGTACAGAGTGGAGTCATCACAGAAGCTGAGGGGTGAGTACTGGCCAGGCCCAGGGAGGGCCTCAAGTGCGCTGAAGGAGCCATCAAAGCCTTGATGTCGGTTCAACAGAGATGTGTCTGAACCCAAGAGCCATCGCTCAGGAGCTCAGGACGTTGGGGGTAGCACTCAACTTGAGTCTCGATTCCTGCTCCATAAAATGAAGTGAATTGAATTTACATCCCAACTGAGATGTGGGGTGGACCTAAAAGGAAGATCTTGATAAAGAGCCCTGCATGCAGTAGCTACTTAGCAAACTTGAGGTTCCTTCCCCTAGAGCAGTTCTCTCTGGGGAAGAGGGAAGGGAAGAGAGGAATGCAGCCCCGACAGAGAAACTCATTTGCATCTCCTCTTTTGGGAAATGAGTTTCCCAACTCTAAGACTTGTGGATTTGAATAGGCAAATCCCTTTCACTGAGGATATGGATTTAAATGATTTCATCCAGTTGTTTTCTTCTTTCTTCCCACTGCCCCATTACTATAGAAACCTTTTTTTTCTTTCTTTCTTACCCATAAAAAGTGCCTTTTTTGGGCACTTACTCTGTGCCAAGCACTGTGCTCAATGCCTCCCTAAGCTGTCTCATTTCACAACAATAATAAATGATCCTCCCAGGTACCTCTAGAACATAGGAGAGAGGTGTCCTAACACTTACTGCACTGTCTTTCTTTTTGCCATGAGACTGTGAACTCCTGGAGATGAGGGGTAAATTGGTTTAATTAACACCTAACACAATGCCCAGCCCCCTAGACCTTTTCATCATTCCAGCTTGGGATGAAATGTCACACCATCTCTTGGAAAGGCTGTCTCCAGTCTTTCCATCCTAATGAGATCTTCTCCTATACCTCACATGTTACCAAGGCAATACCCAGTAGATCTTTAGCTCTCAGATAGACCCTATGCTCAGAGGTCTCTCTTGTTAGTCACTGGAGTTCAGATCCTTGCTTCGTAATTTGTTAGCTGTGGGACTTTGGGCAAAGTGTCTCATTTCTTCAAGCTTCCATTTTCTCACC